ACTACAGATTAGTAAGTAAGCACAAGTAAGCCTGTGCTTACCTCGCTTATTGGGTAATCCAGCACTGGGTCCTGAGGCCCTAGGGCCACTCTGCCTCTTCCCTTACCTTCATCATATTAACTTCTGGTGCTCCCCTCAGTTGGATGAGTATGTCCTTGGACTATGGCCTTTCTTAATTGCCTCTTCCCAAACACTCAGGACTGGACCATTGGGACTAGACCATGTTCCCATTGGGAACATCAGAATTAGGTCACCATGATATGGAAATACTGATTGCATTGGCAGAATAAATAAAAGTAGAGAGTCTTAGAGGCATAACTAAAATAATGCACTTTTTCAAATATAGGCCTTCCTGGGTTACAAAGTTCTGACTCATGGGCAGCTCCCATTTGTCCTTTAGTGTTATATAAATTTACCCTGACTTTTAAATGATTGAGGAACTTTGGTGACATAGAAGTTAAAGCATTTGGCTGTTAAGTATAAAGGTCAGTGGTTCAAACCCACCAGGGGCACCATGGGAGAAAAATGAGGTAGTCTGCTTCTGTGAAGATTTACAGTCTTAGAAACCCTATGTGGCAGTTCTACTCTGTCCTAAAGGGCTGCTATGAGTTAGAATTGACTCGATGGCAGTGGTGTGATTTGATTTTGACATGACTACAATAAATTGTGCATCACAATCACCTTCACTTGCTCACATGCAGCTTTTAAATAGAGCTTTGAACCTTTTCTTGCACTAAACCCAAATCAAACCCACTGCCATCAAGTCAATTCTGACACATAGCAACCCTAGAGGACAGAGTAAAACTGCCCTATAGGGTTTCCAGGCTATAAATTTTTATGGAAGCACATTGCCTCATCTTTCTTCTGCAGAGTGGCTGGTGGGTTTGAGCCACCCACATTTTGGTTAGCAACCGAATGCCTTAAACTCTGCCTAAACACCAGAGCTCCTTTCCTGGCACTAACTCAAAAAAAACAAACTCACTGTCATTGAGTTGACTCCAACTTTTAGTGATCCCTATCGGGATGCCAAGGCTGTAAATCTTTACAGAAGCAGATTGCCCTATCTTTATTCCATGGACCAGGTGGTGGGTTTGAACCACCAACCTTTTGGTTGGCAGCCAAATGCCCTAACCACTACACCACCAGAGATCCTTTCCTGGTGTTAAACTCACTGCCATTGAGTTGATTCGACTCATAGTGACCCCCTCCTTGGGTTTCCAAGGTGGTATCTCTACAGAAGTAGATTGTCCAACCTTCCTTCTGAGAAGTGGATGGAACCGCCAGCCTTCTGGTTAGCAGTCAAATGCCTTAGGCACTATACTACCAGAGCTCCTGGCACTAAAGGAAGGCTAAGTAAAAACTGTATCCACCTGTTCCAACTTACATACAAATTCCACTTAAAGGCACAATTAGGACCAGATCTCGTTTGTAACCTGGGAATTGACTGTATGAACCAGTGAAAATGTAACCAGAGAAAAACAGAACGGAATTTATATCTAATCCTTTCTAATTCTCTAATTTATCACAAGGATTTCAATCTACTTGATAGAAGATGTTAAGATGTTTCAAATACAAACCTTCCTTCCACTGTTATGAATGTCTTCAACAATTTTCTTCACCTCATTTGCATAAGCACTAGCTGGGTCTGCATGGTTTTCCCGGTATTTTCCTCTGTAAGTATCTGGATGTGGTGCCTGAAAACATCAAAGCAGTTTCACATTATTCACCTCTTTGACACGTGATTTTTTTAAAAGTCATTTTCCCACAAAAACATATTAGAAAGCTGATCTTGTGGATTTAGTTGACTCTATACTCTTTTGTTGTTCTTTATATTTAACATCTCTGAATTTTGTGAATGACAGAAGTCTTTGTTTGGTGAATAGGAGTTTGGATTTGCTCCCAAACCCTTGTATGTCAAGACTGCATCCCTACTCATGTAATTAGCAAATTCACAACAAGTATGATTATACTCTTTTAAAATTTTAATTAATGGAAACTGTATTAGCTATTATATATTGTAAGTACACCGACATTTGCCAAGAGTATTGCAAATTGTAATCATTCAAAAAACTAAAGCATGCCTTAGTTTTTTTCAGATATTAAAATAATGAGAGCATTGCTGATTCTACTGATCCTTAATATATATATAAACACAACTAAATGAGTTCCACTCTTTCAACAATTTGGTTGGTTTCATTAGTTTGCCTAACAAATTTATATAATTTATCATAGAGCAATTTAATTTTAAGACAGTCATATACACTCAAGATGACTCTGAAGTTTGAGTTGGCATCAGTGGTAGAAAAATTAATTGAAGGTCAAAGAGCAAGAAAAAATAAAGTGTTATCTCTGTATAACGTACTCTATCACTTTACTAATCTCTCTATTGAAATATTCATCAATGGTTTTTAAAACACATCTTGTCGTTAGTTAGGTTTTTGACTTTACCAAGTCACCTAATTGCTGTAGATCTTGTTTTCTTTTCCATGGTTTCATTTCAATGAGAAGTTTGGATAAATTATCACTAGGCATCTAAGGCACCTGACTGCTAACCAGAAGGCTGGAGATTCAAACCCACCAACCACTCCTTGGAAGGAAGGTTGGGCAATCTACTTCTGTAGTGATACTGCCTCGGAAACCCAAGGAGGGGTCGCTATGAGTCGGGTCCAACTCAATGGCACTTAACAACAACAACAACAGGCATTTTTCTCTGGTAGCATAGTGCCTAAGGCACTTGACTGCTAACCAGAAGGCTGGCAGTTCAAATCCATCAGCCACTCCTCGGAAGGAAGACTGGGCAATCTGCTTCCATAGTGATACTGCCTCGGCAACCCAAGGAGGGGTTGCTATGGGTCAGGTCTGACTCAACAGGACATAACAACAACAACAAAAGGCATTTTTCCAGGGATAACAATCTGATTCCAGGATTTGAAGGTACTTACCACATGTACAAATTCTTTCTTGACATCTTTGCCTTTTTGAAATTTATATGGACTGATCTCAATTAAAGATGATAGGTGACCATGATAAGCACTAAAAAGAAAAAGAACACTCAGTCACTTCTGGAAAGATGCTTTTTCTAGTATGTGAAAATTGTATCCCCTAGGAAGAATCTCAACATTGATGACAGATTAGACTATATTGGATCTAACTTTTCATGGCAAGATTGGCCATTCAGTTTGCCCAGTCTCCTTATACATGTACATGAAAAGCCAAGTATGTGGCTTTGTAGACTGTCTTTTCAGCAGGAAAAAAACGAATTAGATTATGTTGTTGTTGTTGTTATTTGCCGTCGAGTCGGCCCCAACTCATAGTGACCCCTCCTTGGGTTTCTGAGGCAATATCACTATGGAAGTAGGATTGCCCAACCTTCCTTCCGAGGAGTGGCTGGTGGGTTTGAACCACCAGCCTTCTGGTTAGCAGTCAAGTGCCTTAGGCACTATGCTACCAGAGCTCCCTTAGATTATGTTAGATCTGCTAAATGAGATTGTCTAAATGTAAAAAAGTATTGTCTATATAGTCATGAAAAATTTTATGTGTTTAAATATATTTATTTGATAGTTATATTCCAGTACATTTTAAAAATAATTTTATATCATAGAATGGGCATTTGTTTCTGTTTGGATAATTTCTGAAGGATGTCTAGTTACAAATATTGGGCAAATATTAGTTGAGGGGAACAGGAGGGCTCCTTAAGAAGAACTAAGATTGAGAGTTGATCAAGTGACTATGAAATTTCTCTCTTTCACATAAAATACAGGCATCTAATATTCCTTGTCTCTCCACCATGTATGCACTCTTCCTGCTGCCTGACCTCTGATTGTTTGGACATAAGCTAGCAGAGGCCTCCACTCTGATTCATGACCTGCAGATTTGGAATTTGTCAGCTCCTGTAACCACATGTTGCAGCAGCAGGGATCCAGATAAGGGGAGGGACACAGGCCCCATCCACCAAGAGGCAGGAAAGCAGGGAGAGAAAAGCCAGCCAACCAAGCAGAGTGGCAGGATCCAGGTAAGGGGAGGGCAGAGAGGTTTTGAACAACTAAGGGAGACAAACTTGTCTATCAGTTTGTCGTGTTGTGGTGGCGTGCATGTTGCTGTGAGGCTTGAGGCTTCGCCAATGGTGTTTCAAATGCCAGCAGGGTGGCACATGGCGCACAGGTTTCAATGCAGCTTAAAGACTGAGACAGACTAAGAAGGAGGAGGCCACCACTTTCCAAGGAATTGGCCAGGGAAAACCTTATGAATAGCATAGAAATACTATCTGATACATCACTGCACAACTTTATGAGTAGTCTGGGAACACTGTCTGATACAGTACAGAAAGACAAGCCCCTTAGGTTGGAAGGCTCTCAAAATATGACTTGGAAAAAGCTGCATCATCAGAGAAGAACCAACCTTACTGATATGGATAAAGTAAAGCTTTTGAGACCTCCATTTGCTGATGTGGCATGACTCAAATTGAGGAGAAACAGCTGCAAATATCCATTAATAATCAGAACATGGAATGTAAGAAGTATGAATCTAGAAAAATTGGAAGTTGTCAGAAATTAAATGGAACTCATAAAAATTGAAATCCTAGGCTCAGTGAGCTGAAATGGATTGGTTTTGGTCATTTTCAATCAGACAACAATATGATCTACTATGCCAGGAATGACAATTTGAAGAGGAATGGCATGATATTCATTATCACAAAAGATGTTTCAAGATCTATCCGGAAGTACAATGCTGTCAGTGATATGATAATATCCATATGCCTACAAGGAAGACCAGTTAATATGACTATTATTCAAATTTATGCACCAAACACAAAGCCAAAGATGAGGAAATTGAAGATTTTTATCAACATGTGCAGTCTGAAATTGACCAAAATGCAATCAAGATGTGTTAATTATCACTGGTTACTGGAATGCAGGGATGCCCAAAAGCAGCAGGCCGGAAGAGCAGGAGAAAGGGGATTAAAAGTCAGGAACCCGGACAGAAGAGCAGTCAACCCCAGAGATACAGGTGAGGAGAGACAACTCAGGGATGCCCAAAGAAGCAGGCGGGAAGAGCAGGAGAAAGGGGATTAAAAGCCAGGAAGTCAGAGACAAGAGCAATCAGCCGAAGGGATTAGGTGAGGAGAGGAAACTCAGGCCCGCCCAGAGCAGCAGGCCGGAAGAGCAGGAGAAAGGGGATGAAAGCCAGGAACCCGGACAGAAGAGCAGTCAGCGCCAGGGTTACAGGTGAGGAGAGACAACTCAGGGATGCCCAAAGCAGCAGGCCGGAAGAGCAGGAGAAAGGGGATTAAAAGCCAGGAACCCGGACA